CTTGACGGTTTCATTTTGCCACTTACCAGTCGGGTACTGACTATCACCGGATCGTAGGTAATTCATTGAGGGTGCCAATCTTCATGAATTACAGCCTTTATCCTCCACGTCCCTGAACCAGCCCATCGAGATCAAGAAGGGAGGCACGTGGTTAGCTTTTAGTTAGGTAGGGTTCACTGTTCCGTGTCGGGTCTTGCCGTCTCATCCAACCGGACATTTCGCTTGACTTGACTCGTTGACATACTTGCGTAATGCCAATTTTTACGAAGTCAACTACTTTATAATAGAGAACTTCATGCGTTCTATTACGAAGGTGTTTTCAATGGGTTTAGCGCCATTAAGTTCATGATGAGAAAATTATGCAGACATTCACAGTGGCAGTATCATATGCCCAAAATCAGCCTGGAGTACCAAAGACGCTCAATCTCATCTTAAGGTTAGGATTTAGCTCAGAATTAAATCACTAGCTCAGGCTTAGGATAAGTATTTGTCGTAATATTAATCTTAAATTCAGTGATTAAGTTTGGATTAGGCTTAGACTTAAGACTAAGTTAAGCTTAGGCTTAGTTTCAGGCATAAATTTAAGGTTTGGATTAGATTTTGGCTTAGACTTAGACTTGGGCTCAGATTTATACTAAAGTCTGCCCCTAGTAATAGGCTTAGGCTTATGCAGAGACTCAGTCTTAAGCTCAAGACGATACTTAGTCTTCGGTTAAAGCTTAGGCCTCATCTTAAACTTAGACTTAGCATTTGGATCAGGTTTAGAGTAAATTTTACTCATTGTCCTATACCTAAACGTTTGCTGAAAATCGGTGTATGGCTTAGGCATGCGCTCAACTAAGGCTGAGGCGTAGGATCGAGCTTAGGTTTATGGTTACTCTCAAACTTAGGATTATGAGTAGACTCAGTTTTTCTTGTAGGATGATTAGTCCTTGCACAAAAATTAGACTTAAGCTGAAAACTAATCTTATCCATACGCTGAGAGTTAATCTCAGGATTGGCTTTAATCTTTCGCTAAAACCAAGGCCAAAGCTTAGGCGTTTTATATGGCTCAAACTTACATGTTACTTAGAATTAGGCTTGGAATAGGGTTTTGGTTAAGCACAGACATGCCTAGACTTAAGCTTATGCTTGGCTCAGGCTTTGGCTTAGCCTGGGTCTTTGGCATAATCTTAGGCTTAAGATTACACCGAGGCTTCAGTCTGACTTAAAATTAGGATTAAGCCTAGACATAAGCATAGGCTACTCCTTACTCTTAGGCTTTGATCTTGAATTAATGTTGGGGCTAAACTTAAACTTAAGTCTAAGGTAGTCTTAACTCAAAGCGAAAGATGAATGTTTTGGTTGTCCTTAGTGTTAATCTTAGGTATAGGATAAAGCAGGTATATTAGAGACGCTCATCCTGTGTGCATTTATTTGAACGCAATCACAAAACGCAATGATTATACAAGGGCCAAACTTACTGAAAGAATCAGAAATCTGAAGCATTATTTACTACAAGATTTAACAGCATTCCATTTAATCAAGGAGAAATATCACCATTACGGTTAGAGAAGAAAATATCATATAAATTAGAATTGTTCGAAGCCTGGCAGCAGGTGCAGATATGGCAAGAAAAAAAAACATTTTCAGACTTCGTTTACCTGCAAATTTTGTCAATCGACATGTTTTTATGATGAGCCGCCTTCGCTGCCACAAGATACTGCAAAAATTTGCTTTGGCACCGTTGCATGTCGGGCGTTTGACCGACAGCAGTCAGACATGTGAGGTAAATCGAGAAC